GGAATCTGCTCATTTGCATGTCCACTCAGACAAACACATATAAATACATTTATATAACCACAAAGGCTGTCCAAGAGCTGGTGCTGCTCCTACCAATATTAGCAATTAACAGTCTCATTTTATCTCAAGCTGGGTGTTATTTAGTCCATGCTACCACACACAGATGACTAACTGTCTGTCAGACCAGTACAGTCTCTCATGCAGGGGCGTATCCAGACTGTTTTGGCCAGGGTGGTCAATCAGGGCTACCGGCATAGAAAGAGATGGCCATGGTGTATGTGTCTATGAATTTATAGCTTTTATCCTTCTGTCTTTCTCTGTTTGCTTAAAGAACACAGGCACTCTTTTGGGGACAGCAATGTACAGGTGTAAGCTAGAGAAGACGGATGGTTTGAAAGAGGAGTTAAAGAAGACAATTTCACCAGACTGGAGAAACCTTCTCTGAACAGAGGAGGTGGACTCAGGCATAACCTCTCTGGCACTTACAATGCAGTTCTTTGCTCTCTTCCCAAACATTCACACCTGGGACCATGTGACCACAACACCTCACATGGAAGGGGTAGTTAACAACACACTCAGGTTAATGACTCTCGAGATAATCACCCGCAGATGGGTTTCTACCACCCATTCACTCCAACTCGTCCCAGTTGTTGTTTTCGCCTCCTCCTGTAAGATAAATACCAGCTCCCCTCACCAGCTATTTTAGAACTGAAGAGGCTTCTTGGATAAGTGGTGAAACGTCAACTCTACACAGTCCAGTTGCCAGATTTTGAGGATTTCAAAAAAAACATGACCTAGATGAATGAGAATCTACAAGGACGACATCAAAGCCTTGTTAGCTTCAAATTTTTTGAATTTTAATGGAAGCAAAACAGAGGTCATTGTTCTTAGATCCAGTGGCATTTCAGGTTACTCCACACCAGACCCGGGTCATTTTGAACCCTATGTCATGCCTGTGGTGTCAAATCTTGGAGTGAAAATAGACTCTGATTTTAAGATAGATAAACAAATTAATGCTGTAGTTAAAGCTGGGTTTAATCATTTAAGAAGGATCTCAAAGTTAAACTGTTTCTGGCATTTTTAGACTCTGAGACAGTTGTACATGTTTTTATCTCTACAAGACTGGACTATTGCAATAGACTGTTCCTTGGCATCAGTCAGTCCTCGCTCTGGTCCTGAATGCTGCAGCCTGACTTGTGACCGGCACACACAGACGTGACCATATAACTCCAGTCTTGGCAGCACTACACTGCCAGTGTTGTCAACTCCTTAGTAAGAAAAGTAGTTATTGGCTGTCCCAAAAGTTGCTAGAAGTTGCTAAATTACATCATTGCCTAATTTGCATAATTGACCAAATTGTAATGGACGCTGTAAGGGAGAGTAACAACGTCGTGGGACAGACAAAAAGTAAGTAAAAAAAAACATTCCAAATATGTTTAGAACTACAAATGAACTTTCTTCTGTCGATTCTTGTTTTTTTTTATGTTACAATACCAACCCTCCTCCTTTATCCGGGCTTGGGACCGGCAAAAATGAAGCATAGCGTTAGTTCTGTCAGGACACGACGTCAAGCGCTGATCTGCAGCCAATGGCTAGTAGCCACCTCAACCAGACGATAGTCAGCTGATTCACTCCTAGCTCCTATTGGTCCTTTGCCTATAGAGCGCCTTATTTAAAACTGCACTAACCGAGCCTCTTCCTCTGTTTCAACAGCTAACCAGCAATTTCCGCATGCCTGCCTAAACGTTTGTATTATTCCTTACCTCGCTCCTTGTTATTATTCCTGTCGCTCCTTGTGACAATGTCCTCAGCCTACAATGAGGATGAGCTGCAGTTCGACTGCATCTCGGAGTCTCCTCAAGAGTCCGATGCAGAGGACGCGATCAGGCCGGAGGAAGCTTCCTCTATCTGCAGAAGCTCCAGGTTAGCGTGAAAGAATACGCGGGTTCCTTCGATCAACGAATGGCCCATCCTGAAGTTGCTACAGTTCCTGTTTTCGAATGACATTCCCGCCACGATCAGCGCTTCTCACCAGGAGTTTTTTGGGCTTTTCCTGAGTTGCTCTGAGCCCCAGCGTCCGCCTGCAAGGACTCCTTCACCTTCCGCCTCTCGAAAAGCCACAGCAAAACGTAAACATACCAGCAATTCCGGTACAGCCTCGGCAGTCGGTGCCGCCCAGACACACAAGAGGGCGCGAGTTACGGCCCTGGCGGTCAGCCACGCAGCTCCAACGGACAAACTCGCAGCTCCGACAAACGCTGACCTCATGATGGCCCTTTCGTCCATCCAGTCCTCCTTTTCTTCCATGAACGCCAGGATCCAGACCCTTGAGGCTAATGCTCCAACTTCAACACCGTTTCAACCCACAACGCCAACTTTCCAAGACAGCGCACGCACCACCTCCCCCATCGCCGGCCCATCGTTGCAGCTGATGACGTCATCCCGGACCCTACGACAACGTCACTGTCCCGCACAGAACCCTGGGTAGCCCAGTTCCCATCACCACGGGCGTCCCCTTCTACCCTCCTGCAGCTGCAATCTCTCCTAATCTCAGGAGCCAGATCCTGGCAGGTAATGACATTAATCTAGTTAAGATCCTGCTGTTCTCCGATGTCAGTGATAAATGTGTGATTAACTGTGGAGACATTTCTTTTCTGCTGAAAGATAGCGATCCCAGGGTCTTCAAGTCCTTGACTCTAGCGGAATTCACAGTGGCTTTTAGCATTTATAGGGATGTCATCTGCGAAGCTTATCCATCCAGTAAAGTCGAACTGGACACATACCTCGCCATCATTGCTGATCTCGCCATGACTTATGGTGGAACTCTATTTTATGAATATCATAAATCGTTTTCTGCTAAGGCTGCAATGTTCATCCAGAGATTTAACCAAAGAGTAGACTGGTCCGTTGTAGACCTGGCCCTGATCAGCAGGCACTGTACCAGCCGTCAGGCTCTTTCCTGCTCTATATGCAGCTCTTTTTCTCACTCCTCTAATTAATGCCCGAAATCCGTGGCTATTGTAAAACCACCTAGAGACCTTGGATACGAGACCAAGGTGAAACCCAGCATAACCTCTATCTGTATTAATTTCAACGAAAACGTGTGCAAATATACTAATTGTAAATATATCCACGCTTGCAGCTTTTGCGGGGACAGGCACCCCAGATCTGTATGCCCAAGATGATCCCGCCTTGTGAAGAAACAATAAAACCATCAACCCCTATCAACGTGCCTGAGCTAAAGAAGGCTTTGCAAAAGCACCCCAACCGATGCTTTGTCAATTACTTAATAACTGGACTCATTCAAGGTTTTTTGGCTGGTCTGGCATGGTTACCTAATGTGTCTTATGTGTGTAATAACCTACAATCTGCTTTAAAGGAGCCCAAGATAGTCAACACTCTACTAGAGAAGGAGGTTAGAAAAGGTTTTATGATAGGTCCGTTCAGTAATTCATCATTTCCTATAACACGCATTAACCCCCTTGGCATAGCCACTTGAAAACACTCCGGAAAAGGCGCTTGATCATAGACTTATTGGCCCCTCACAATGATTCAGTAAACAGTATCAATAGCCTTATTTCTCTGCCACCATTCTCTCTGTTCTATGCCTCAATTGACGATGCCCTCCAACTTATTAAAAAAGCAGGCAGGGGCACATGGCTGTCTAAAGCAGACATCAGTGACGCTTTTAAAGTTATGCCCCTACACCCCCTCTCAGTGGCATCTCTTCGGCTCCAAATGGAGAGATCAACTGTACTTCGCAGTTAGACTCACTTTCGGGTGCCGCAGCAGCCCCAAGATCTTTGACATCCTGTCAGAGGCCCTCTGCTGGATTCTGCTGAATAACTGCAGGCTTCCATTTGTGCTCCACTTGCTTGATGATTTTCTGCTACTGATTTTCCCAATGCCAAGCCTGACCACACTATTTCCATACTCAAATCTACCTTCGCTACCTTAGGGGTGCCATTATCCGAGGAAAAAACTTCTGGTCCTCTCCAATCCATAGAATTCCTAGGTATTGTGCTAGATAGCAACTTAATGCAGGCTTCCCTACCCATTAATAAATTAACTCGTATCAGAGAAATTATGAAAGCACAATATTCTAAAACAATATCAAAAAGAGACTTGCGCTCCCTCCTCGGCCATTGAAATTTTGCCATGCGAGTTATCCCCCAGGGCTGCTCTTTCATATCCCGGCCTCTCCACATATCAAAAAACTGCCAGCCATTTAGCCGCGCCCATTACATTAGATGAAGGATGCAGATCAGAACTCCGATTCTGGTCCCTGTTACCCGAAAAATGGAATGGTATTTTAATTTTTTTAAAATAATTGCTCTGAGTCGTCCCTGAAAATCTGTTTGTTCACTGATGCAGCCCCTTCCATTGGTTTTGGGGGGTTCTATAACAACCAGTGGTTTGCCGACAAATGGCCAAAAGAATTATTGTCTTTGCCAAGCAACGTCACCTCTTCAGCCGTAATGGAAATATATCCAATAGTCATTGCATGCCTACTCTGGGGTAAACACCGGGCAAGGAAACAAAATACCACTTTCTGTGACAATGAAGCAGCAGTCCATATTGTTAACAAAGGGCACTCTCCATACCCTTTATGAATAGGTTTTTAAGACGCCTGACTTGGGTTTCAGTCCTAGGTAATTTTATCATTAGAGCAGCTCACATTCTGGGTTTAGACAACAAGATTGCTGATGCCCTGTCTCGATTTGAATTTCAGAAATTCTGAAAAATTTGTCCAGAAGCAGCTCTCTCCGGCCTTCCCTGCCCTCCTTTCAATCAGACCGTTCTGGACTAGACCCTACCCTGCAATCATGCATTCAGCCTCCCACTACATGAGATCCGGACTAGCCCAATCAACATTAAAAGTGTTTGACTCTGCATGGTCCTATTTCTCATCATTGTGTTTCACCTACTCAGTTCCTTTGTTTCCCATATAAATTTCTATTGTATGCGCTTTCTTGGTCCACTGTTTTGAGTCTCGAAAGATGCAACCCTCTTCTACCAAAGGCCTTTTCCCAGGAGTACAGCTCCAACTGCGGTGTTTGGATCCATTTGCCGGAAGCCTGCTTGGAAACCCTTCAATCCAGCTCCTGCTGAATGGATTCCTCCTCTGGCAGTCCTGCGGACTTCCTCCAGCTCGCTACATGGCTCATTTATTTCGCATAGGTGCAGCTACAAACGCAGCCATGACGGCTCCTGTGTCCACCCTCAAAGCCATGGGCCGATGGTCGTCTGCCGTGTATGAACGCTATCTGCGCCCTAAAGCTCGGGACATTCTAGAAGCTCAGAAAACCATGAGTATCCATAACTTGGCACATAGATGTAATTAAATGAAATATATAAATAAATACTCTGCAGATAACTATCCATGCTTGGGCAATGAGTCTCTCTAACCCGTCTCTCTTTCGGCAGCTTCTCAACTCCCCTTGCTAGCTCCTAGACTGCACGGCATGATTGTTTTGGGGGGGTTCTGTTCTTCGCTGCTTTACCCCCGCCATCTCTGCCTTTATAATGGCTCGTGCTAGTGTGGAGAACGGGGGGCCCCGAACAGAACCTTGTGTGCGCTCCCTTCTATCGCCTTTCATGATGGCTCGTGATGGGCAGGAAGGGGCTCTTCCTGCCCTCGTGGAAGGGCAGGGACCCAGAACAGAATCATGCCGCCAAGTTTAACTTTGCACAATAGGACTAAAAATTTTGACAAAGTTTACCTGACTGAAATGACCCAATTGAGACAATTTTGCGGAGTTACTGAGTGTTGTTTTGTTTTGTTTTGTTATTCTTGCTTGGGAAACCAGAGCACCCGGAGTAAACCCATACGGGGAGAACATGTAAACTCCACATAGAAACGCCCTGACCTTGGTTAGAATTTTTTTTTTTTTTTCTTCTTTTCTAAATTTGTTTTTTTCTTTTTCTTTTCCTTTTTTTTCTTTTTCCAATTTGGTTTTAATTTTTGTTTTTTACAAACTGAATAAGAGCTGTGAAAATGTTACTCAGCAGCAGGAAAAAAAAAGCAAGAGAACATGACAAAACAGTTTTTAGTCCTTTGCATTGCAGCAGCAACGAAAAAGTTTGGCCACATGCTTAAAGAATTTGAAAGCCTGTCTCATGAATTTTCTCTGTCCAGCAGCTACAGGAAAGTAGTCTGCCGAGGTTTGTCCATCGGAGGAAGAAGGAACTGAGTCTATCTCTGGATCACTGTGTGAAGGCAAGGTGCACAGATCTTCTTCACTATGGAGGGAAACCAGGTCCTGATTATTGGTGATGCTGGTGGGAAATGCTGTATGTAAGTCTTGTCAGAGGAGGATTATTGACATAGGAGATCTTATCTTCCTCTGATGGACTCTGTTGTTCTCCATCTAAAGTCCCTGCAACTTTTTCTTTAGAATACCAGAAACCTAAATTGTCATTATAGGAATCCAAGCCTTGGTCCTCATCTATGTCTGATGGACCCTGTTCTTCTTCATCTGAAATCCCTGCAGCTTTTTCTTCTGGACACCACCAACCAAATTCGTCATTATCGGAATCCAAGCCTTGGTCCTCATTAGATGGGTCTGGACTACTAACTAAAGGGTCCTCATTTGATCGCTTAACAGTTGAAGCTTCCTCTTTGTTCAATCTTTGGCCTATATCGAGGACAGCAGAGTGGTCCACCCTTTCACCTGAGGCCCCCAGACAGTCCTTTATGGTTTGTGCAAAGGTCAGACTGGATGAAGAAGAATATATTAGTTAATGAATTAGTCAGTTATGTGATGTTATTGTGTTATATTACAGTTATGTTACCTGTGTTATATCAACTACCCATAAACCACAGAAAAGACTGTTATTGTTACTTACTATTCTCCACTGTGGGGGTTCGCGACCAGGTGGGACATGGTAATGAAAGGGTGCTGCAGAGCTTCTTCAGGAGTGATCCTCGTATCTGGTTCAAGGTGCAGCAGCCCTTTTAGAAGGTCCACAAATGCCTTCCTGTCCTCATATTCAGCTGCCTTCTTTCTGGGGAAGATCTGAAATAGAAAACAGATTCAGGTAAGCGATCAGAGAACAATGTTGGCTAGACATGAATCATGAAACAAAGTAAAGACTACTTACATTCACCAGATCATTCAGACAGCTTGGCTGCACAATGCTCCTCTGCTCCTCTGGCTTCTCTTCAATCACTTCGTTGTATTCTTCAGGTGTCTATATGGATGAAAATAATGTTTTGGCTTAAAATCCATATACTGGTGGAAGGCGAAACACAACTCACCCACTCTCCTCCAGCAGCCGCTTGTTTGTGGGGGAGCCCTGACAAGCCCTGACGAGTGCGCAAGGAAGAACATTTATGATCATTTCTTCGTGGAAATGCAATCGGACCAAGTTGTTAAGGCAGGAGAACTACCAAATCTGCAGTTCAAAATGATTATGATTATCACTTCAAGGTAATGATCCTGCACTCTGCACCGCTGTATTTGGTGATCGACTCGTCAGGGCTCCCACACAGACAGGAGGAGAGTGGGTGAGTTGTGTTTAGTCTCTTTGTTAAAGAATTCAGGCAAAGTTAAAAAGATGTTCGGTGGCTGGTGCTATGGCTGGGACTCTATATGTACTGTTGATGAAGTTAGGTGCTGTTCTGAGCATTGTTTGTGGCTATAGAGTGCCGTTTTGGTTGAGGAGTGTGCGTGGCTCCTTGGACCGCTGTGTATTGCTATCCCACAGTCGTTACCAAAGTTGGTATAACTAGAGAAGCAAGCAGTCGGCAACATTCATCTCCGAAGGGGGGTCTAACTCTGTGTTACAGTGAGTTTGACCATAAATTAATTTTACCCTGGAATATCACTTTAAGGGCCAGAAAAGCTGCTGAGAACAGGAGAGACCAGGCAAGTGTCACTGAAGAAATGTGCATGTGTCAAAAAAATAAATACAGAAACGTGGGGAATGGATAGATTCATTATTAATTATTAATCTACAAAAAAGAACCATACAATAACTGTTCGCTCTGAGCATATGCACAGATTAGGATATTTTAATAAATAATGCGTTATAAAGACATAAATAAATAGGTTAAGTGCAAATTTTTATTCATATTTAATAGATATGTGAAACAAAAACAATTTTGACAGCTTTTAAATAAACTGTATATATAATTAAATTGAACCACAAAACCAGAGGTTTGTTTTATGTGAATTGAAAAAGAACAGCTTACTTTAAGATGACAAAGAGAACCTGCATTAATTAATTTGTCCAATAAATAAATCAGGAACACCTGCATAAATAAATATTGTGCAAATATATAACCCCCCCACACACACACACACACAATTCTACTAGTTTAACTTACTTTAACAATAATTAAAAGAGACCGAACAGAGTTAACAATCAAATAGGATAGTCAGTCACTCATTCAGACTGTCAATCTGTCAGATAGAAACAGTCAGTTAAATGTTTAATCCTGCTGCTGCCGACTGTTGAATTTGCAGTGAGCATCATTTTAATGTTGCTTTCCGTAAGGCTCCGTCTGTACTGTGTAAGCAGCATGGTATAGTGTGAGAAAAGTCTTTCTGCATTCACTGAGGTAGTGGGGGGGATGGAGGTACAATGCTGCAAGTGGGGCAAGAGTGGGCATCCTGTCCTCCCTGGTGGCCCACCACTCCACAGGACTGACCTCCTCAGCGTCACTCTTGTCCATATGGATGTAGTAGTGCCATTCCTCAGCTGACACACCTGAAAGGGCAGGGGCCACCTGGACGTAGTCCTGGATGTGTCTTCTCACACCAGCTACCTTTTAAAGAGTTTTAAAGAGCTCCATCACATTCTTTGCAGAGCAGTCAGCCACGGTCTTCTGGAAGAGCTCAGTGCAGGCAGCAAAGTCACCCTCATCCAGCTCCCTCAGCCTTTCTGTGGTCCTGGGATGCCAATCCTCAGCCCCTACAGTATGGCCGTATTCAAACAGCATGAGGAGGTTCTCCAGTTTGGTAATGGTGGTCTTGATCTCAGTGCTGTGCTCAACAATGAAGATAGCTTGGGCCTTTAGAGTAGCTTCTTTCTCTTCTAGCAGCTCTTTCAGGTCCCGAACAGCCTTAGAGGGCAGTGGTAAAGAGGGTATGAAGTCACATAAAATATCCAGGTTCTCTGCAAGGTACTGGACAGCTTAAATCCCGGATCCCCGTCTGGTCATCACAGCAAACACTGGCATAACAGGAGCCAAGCCCAATGCCTGTGTGGCGTAATGGAGGGGGGGGATTAAGTATTTTGTTGCCGAACAACGCCACCTGGGGAGTTTCACCCCAAGAAATACAACAGACCCTCTCACTAAAAGGTCACACAGATTCGTTACACCAAACAGAGACACCAAGAGAGACGGACTTCCAAAAAGAATTACACGATTTTATTGATTAAAACTCCTAATTTTAAAAGAACACAATATGAAGGATAATCGTATGAGTACCAGTACACAATAAATGCAGTAACTAAACAAAAGTAGGAACAAGGAGACTTGGTCACAAACAGACTAACCTAAAAAGGAAAAAAATCAAAAGCAAAGAAACCCACTGCAAACCAAAAGAAATCACTACAAACCAAAAAAAATCACTACAAACCAAACACCACGTGCCACGGCAACTAAAGGGAGTGAAGGGGAAGGCCACCACCGGGGAAGTCTGTTCCAAGCTCCTGAAAAAGAAGAGGAAATCAATGATATGGTTGATCACTCAACAAGGCAATATATAGAGTTCTGTTAAGAATTGATTAAATGACCTATTCTAAGAAAAACACACACACATACAGCACACTCGCACGCACACACAACCACAAAAAAGAATTAACCTAATTTAATTGGGTAATAAACTAAATGGCAAACGAAATCCCGGATATAACTATACAAAATATTAACAGAAAAAAAAAAAAAAAAGAAAAAAACAAGAAACTTCCGTAAAATAACAACCAAATCCAAACTAAACAAAATAAACAGTTTCACCTGATAGCCAGTTCTAAATAAACAAAATAAACCAAAGAAAAGCAATAATCAAACTCAAGAATAGGTTGTGTTGGGCGAAAACCAGTTCTTTGCGCAGTATGGGACGTCAAAGAAGCAGCAGAGAAACGGAGCGGCCGCACCGGGGCTGGAGGCCTGGGGAAGCCGTCTTTGTGCCCCGCTGGCGACCAAGTAGTGGGCAGAAGTAGAGCCTCGCACAGAGCGCCGAGGAGAGGAGAGCCACGATCAGTGGCTTCAGCAGCTACAGAGAAAATAGGGCAGGTTACCATACAGCAAACGAGCACTAAAGAAAACCCAACCAAAACAGCCAGCTCACCCGAGCGAAGTAAGCTTTTACGCACGGCCAAACCAGTCACCGTCTTTTGATGATAAAAAGAGCCAACACCACACTCAAAACACCTCTACCTCCACGCCAGCAGCAGACCACGCTGCAAATGAAACATTATGGCTGCTGTCACACCAAAATACACTGTTAAAAAAATCAAGGCACAAAACGGCATGCTTACCTTTTCTGTCCCACAATGATCGAACCCAATGACCAGCGGACAATCACACACCTCGTCGAGTGAATGTCAGGTAGCACTGGGTTGACTGAGAGGACAGAACTTATAAACCTCCCGCCCTGCAATCAAGCCAGGCACCGCTGGAGATTGGATGCAGCTGATGCCACTTGAGTGGAGGTGCAGCAGCAACCTGCCACACCTGCATGTAGGCCTGCAGCTCTTGGTGAAGTTGAGGTGCCTTGCAGAACACTCTCTTCACAATTGCACACACCCTGTCCTCAAATGTATCTGGGAGGACCTGCGGCACCAAGTTGAGAAGATGTGCCAGACACGTGACATGTATGGAGTTGGGGAACAGGCCATAAAGCATGATGTTGAAAGCTTTCTTCATGTGGCTTGCTGAGTCGGTGACAAAAGCCCATACATCACTAAAATTGATGTTGTTGATGTAAGAAATGTCTGCCTGGGACACAGTGTTGAAGTTAACACTGTCGATGAACACTATGGGCTCTATTTTCGTACTGCATTGAATTAAATATCCAGTAAACAGTCACACATGATGAAGTTAACAAGATATTTAATTTGTCCCTCTTCCTTTCTTCCTCCTTTTTCTCGCGCAGCCGACTCGGTCATATCTCCGTGTCCCCTCCCCGTCCTGATGCTGGGGTGACAAGGCTGAACAGATAAATTAATTTGGTGATCAGATGAATTATTTCCTTCGAAAATTTGAACAAAAAAGTAAAAGAGACTTTCATTCAAAATAACCAGTTTATCTAATATCCTCACATCCTTAAAATTCTGTAAATATTCAATCCGGAGTCAGGCCTACATATGAATATTATAATATTCAGTTTTGTGAGCCAAATTTATTTTATATGCCAACATCAATGAAAGAAAGAGCCAGGCTAAGGAGCGTGATCCATCCTTTACCTACAGGTGGTTTCAATTTTAATGCCATTATTGGAATTTATGCAGTGAACTGTGCGCACAACCCACCTTTGTCACGTGGGGTTAAAATATATGCAACTTAATGTGAGTGTCTTTATTTGTGAAAACTGGTGTTTGTCTTACCAGTGGGTACAACCTTACACACACCAAATCCCTCTGTGCTTATTGGAGAAAGTGTGCAGGACGCCCTCTGCAGCGCTTACAGCAAGGCTTGTTGAGGAGCTGCCTTCTGTCGCCATCATATGGCATTGCTGTCTTTAGCCATCTCTTGATCTCTCTGACTACTGCGCCTCTCACCAAAATACCAAAGTGTGCTTGGGCATGCTTTGTCGGGGCGATGGACCTGACTTGAGCCGCGCCAAGCCGCCGGCAATGCATGAAAATAGAGCCCCAGGTCTGCTGCCAGAGGTGGCCTGCCAACAGGTTGCAGAAGTAATGCAAGGACACAGTGGCCACAGGTGTCTGTCGTCTCATCTAATAAAACATAGACAGGCTTTTCTTTCACCACACACTGCAATATTTCTGCAGAAAAGCAGCCAGGTTGGGGGCCTTCTTAAGTGGAATATCGGCCTCAACAAAAGCCTTAGTAAAATCCAGCTCAAACTCCTTCCTCTCAGCAGTTGATGGGGTTTTAGAGAGACAGGGAGCCAGGGTTTGAGTCCTAGATCATACTAGAAGACAAAGAAAGGAAAAAGAATAATTGAAACATTGTATTATTATTACACAGAATGTAAGATAAAGTAAAAATAAGCTTGTACTTCTATTTTGTTTATTTAGATGGGACCATGTATATTAAGGAGCAATACTATCTCATGGAATGTAGATATGCTGAAATTAGCAAACATGCCAATTTTAGTCCATAGAAATAAAATAAAATAAAAAAATAAATAAAAATAAAAGCAGCTTGTTTTATTGAAGAAAGTATAAACCATACAAAAAAGAAGAGATCACATAAACAGAGTTATGTGATGTTTGCTGTCCAGTGCAGTGAGGAATGCTTGGATCTGTACATTGGGGAAAGTAAACAACGGCTTCACAAACACATGGCTCAACACAGGAAAGCCACTTCCTCAGGTCAGGAATCAGCGGTCCACCTTCACTGAAACAAAAATTATTTATAGGTCTTGTACAGCTGGTCTATGGCTGCTCAGAAGCTGTTTTCATCTTATGTATGGGTTTTGAAGGAATTGCTTCACATCAGCCTCTTCAGTGGATGTAGGTAGGTCATCCCATATACTGCTCCCTACTGGCCAGAGTTCATATGAAATCTATCTGCAGCACATTTGTAAACCTTATGACTTCACTTCTCCCTGTTGACAATTAGGTAAAATGTTTCTGGAAGCATTTGTAATCAAGATGTGGTATATTACATGTGTTACTTTCAGTTTATGCAGAGAGTGAAAAACTTAAATAGCCGTTGCAGCAGAGAAAGTAGAATAATGAGTGGACAACATAACAGAAGCTGGAGAGGGATGTTAGGTTACCCAACAAGCTGAATGAAAGAGAGAAAAGACACAAAGCCTCATTGCTGGGTGAAGCCACCATTAGGACAGCACCCTCTGGTGACGGGCTGCAGTATAGGTCATAAATCCTGCCTCCTCCAGCAGTTCTTATGGAGCTGTGGACAAACTTTAAAAATTAATCACACAGAATATACGTATATATATTTCCCCCCCCCGGTTGCGATATTGACATGTAGTTATTGTAAGACTGGTTTGTGCTCAAGTCCTCTTTTTTTCTGTGCAGCTCCATTTTTAGAAGTTATTAGGGGGTTCATGTTTTCTGTGAGTGACACTTGATACAGCATATGGGTGTACAAAGATTGCATACCTCACCCAGGGATACGCTGTTTGAGCCGAGCGTCATGACAGCCACTCTCCTGCCGAATGTGTACAATGCTACTGCGCAAGTGGTGGTTCCAGGAAGTGGATAAAATCCCGGGATTACCGAGAACAATTTGGCTTCAAATTTGAATAATGATGGAAGGCGGACTCAAGTTGTCCATACAGTCTGCGAATTGGATTAAGCAGAATAGTAATTATAATTAAAAAATGCCTATTTTTTTTTCAAAGTCTTCTTTCAGTTTTATAATCTACTGAAGATTGTTTTGTAAAAAGTGAAAAGGATTTGTGCAGAAATATTTCTAGCATGCTTATTTGCTATTAACTCTAAATTGAACAAGCAATGTTGAGACAAAGTGAATGGATTTTCAGCAAGGAAATGAATGTTGTCTTCTGTCCTTACTCAGTTATCTTTCTCAGAGCAATAAGTGAGGCAAAAGTCACAACTTTTAGCATGGCCGCTTGTATCAAAGTCACTGCCTGAGTTTCTTTATAGCAATCAGTAACTCTGACATGAACTCACCAGCTCTGCTGGTCTTGCCTGGATTCCAGGACAGGAAGCAAAAGTCCAGTGATTAGCCTAAAAAGTCAGCATGCTAACGGAAACAAATGGTATTATCATAGACTGTATATACTATGGACAACTTGGTTCCACCTACCGCCTGTATACGGATTTGAAGCCAAATAGCTCTCGGTATTTCCGGGATTTTTCTTCATTTCCTGAAACCGGAGCTGCGCAGTAGCAATGCGCGCATTCGGCCGTGCAGTCGCAAAGAGTTGCTGTGATGACGCTCGGCTCAAACAGTGTATCCCCCGGGAGAGCTACGCAATCCCTGAACGCCCATAGGCTGTATCAGGTGTCAATCATAGCAAACATGAACCCCCTAATAACTTTTAAAAACGGAGCTGCACAGAAAAAAGAGGACTTGAGCACAAACTAGTCTTACAGTAACTACATGTCAACATCACAAGCAGGGGGGAGAAAAATTTATGTTCTGTGTAATAAATTTCTAAAGTTTGTCCACAACTACATAAGCTTTGCTGGCGGAGGCGGGATTTATGACCTATACTGTAGCCTGTCACCAGAGGGTGCTGTTCTTGGAGTGGCTTCACCCAGCAAAGAGGCAGACTCTGGCCATTCTATATACAGTCTATGGGTATTATCTGAGAGTAAACAAACAGAAGTAGAATGTATGGGATTGATCTGACATGATGTGTGTGATCTGGTAGTTTCTGGTGTTGCTTTTGCCATGGAGAGGTAATAACTGTTAACGAGAGGCTGTCAGGGGGTTATAACCAATCAGAATCCAGAGTTCAATCAAGTCAGTTCATCAGTAGGACAGCCTGGTAAAGACTGAGCAGTAAATTAAAATAATAAAAAAATGGTTTTCTAGTTTTAACCAATGTTAATTTTCGTAATGTTAACTTGCGAAAACATGAATATAGATTGCACAGATTCAGATTGTCTTTATGATCTTGAAACATACAAAATATTGACAGATTTTATCAGCTGTCTGACTAAATGAGCCTCTCTCCTGTGGCCAGCCACAATATCCCTTCTGAAAAAAAAGGCCACTATATTTTGCTTATTTCCCCCCCTTTTTTATGCTTTTTTTAAAAATACTTCTGCCAATTATAAATTTGAAGTTGAACTCAATTTATAGGAGTAAAGCAGGTTAATATTGAGAATGTTAAGCTTGGGTTTTTTTATTTTCAAGGATGAAAGTAAGAAACAGGACTGGGATGAAGAGGTTTAGTTGAATGTTAATTTAACCCACAAGTAGGCTTCACATCAAGGTCTTGGGAGTTTATTAGCACAACCACCCACTTATTTTACATTATCTCTGACTCCCTTCAAATCAGATTTTTACTGCTCTGCATTTGTTTCCTTCACCCTCTATCTAACCTGAAACTAGTATCATTAGCAAAAGAGCATGGTTAAAGAACCACTGATGAGCTTTCAGTAATTATGTTGACATTTGCTGGAGCAACATGAATGCAGAGCCTCAAACATCCCAGTCATACTGCATATTGAGCCTCTGGCTGATGGCCTTCATAATCAATATCACACATAGATTGTCCATGTTTCAATTTGTAGATAATCTGGACCCAGCAGCTTTTCTATTTCCTCCATATGGTCACCACATAATTGAAAACACTTAGGAGAGTGACATTTTGGCCAGAGTGTTCCTGATCTCAGATCAGCCAGTTCCCTTGCACAGCTGCTGCAGTCTAATAGCATTCATTTGAAGAAACTGTCCTTGATTAGGTTATTATCAAGATCACTTAGTGTTTCAATAAAAGAGTGCAGGGAGAACTGACGGCAGAGTGGTGGTTCAGTGGTATTCTCTATCATTGAATTGGACGCTGATAGGTTCACATGCTCACCTCATGGAACGTCTCTGACAATGAGCGCTGCAGCGAAGGCAGGGGGTAAAAGGGGGAGAGAACGTTCTGCATTCAAGCGCTAATTAGAAAAATTAGATCTATGAAAGGCAGCAAGTGATCTAGGCCTTCAACCTACGTCTGTGTACCGCTGTAGCAGCACAAAGAGGAGGCAACAATAAGCACTGAGGAGGAGGAGGAGGGGGGATAAATAATTTAATCCATTATCTACTCTGCAAAGCTCATCAGCACTGCTACACAATGGCCACGATTGAATTGCTGATTGCATTTCTCTCCTACCCTCCAGGAGAAAATGCCCATGCACCACTATGTGCTCTCAGCCTGCCAGCACAAGCGAGAGCAGGAGAAAGACAGAGAGAGAGAGAGAGAGAGAGCGAGAGAGAGAGAGAGGAGTGTAGAGTGTCTTCCACCAAGGTCAAACTACAATACAGCAATCTAATTAAGAGTATCAGAGAGTTTCCTGTACAGGGTCAACCTCCCTGTTGTGCTCACAGGCTCACATTGTCCATTATGTATTACATCATGTTCCCCTACATGTTAATGATGGATGTGATGCTGTGATCTTCTCGTCCCTGTTCTTTTTAATTGATAAGAGTGTTCCCATAAAAAGTATAGCAGCTCTTTTCCACTAACAGTGTGTACTCACAGATAACTGCTACACTCTCTCTGTTGTTTGCAATGCTAATGCAACACAGCTCCAGGGATAGCAGTATAGATCTGTTTGTAGTCAGTTCACCAGTTCAGTCCAAATAGAATATAGAAAGCAACTACTAGGCAGCTTGTGGTCAAATATTTGTTTGATTTGACCAAATTTGACCACAACATTGTCCCCAGAGGGCTTTTAGGGTGTTTTTTTATTTTCTTTTCCTATTGTAGCATCACATCGTAGCCTACTAATTTTTATGAGAAATGTCTTCTTAAAACAAATAAAGTATTGATATCACGCTGACAAAAAGAATATTTTAGTTCTATGGTTGTTCTTCTTTACTAGTTGCCACCATGAAAGAGGGGGAAACGAAAAACAATTGATAGCAGTAATTGAACAAAGCCTTGAAGTTAGTTAAGAAGTGAGTCAACTTGAAGTTGGTTCATTCCCATGGGAAATACTGTGATATTCAAAGTCCAAAACTCCCAGCTTACCGTTTTCATTTACCCAAACCAAATGGATTGGAAACAGTTTTGTGGACCCTCACTGTCCCCAGGAGGTTAATTATAAGGCATATGGCAGTCCTCAAACTTGTCCTTAATTATCACGATTAATTTAACATCATTCTGTTCCTTGTGAAACGCCTGGATAATAATAATGTGCTTTGATGAAAACTTGTTTCAGACCTTCAGGATCACCTGAGGATGAATCCTGGTGGCTACAGTGAACCCCTAAACGTGAATGCTATTAGTTTAAAGCTTTTCAGACCATTTAAAAGGTCTGATGACTCCCAAATGGAAACTGTAAAGACAACCAAAGTCGGCACAGAATTCTTTCTAAGGTTACTAGTAGTGATTTTCAGACTTGTCCTTTATCATCAGTAATAGTTAATATCTGTCCATTCTTTTCTTTTGAAATGCCAACTCAAACCCTTACCCTGGAGAACTATTGGATTGAATCTTATGAAAATTTGTCACGACCCGGCTCAAAAGTCAGAAAAAAGAAAAAGGGGGAGGACACGGTCAACTCAAAGTATAATGATTTATTTTCAAAATAAATAATTTTTACCAACAAAAACGGATGAGGTGTGTGCATCAGTTAGTCGGTGTGTCTGTTGTTGGATGAGTAAAAGATGTGTGTGTATGTGCAGCATGTTGTAAGGTGCAGAACCAAAATCCAAAGGAGGCCAAAGCCAACCAAACAAAAAACCCTGCTGGCACAGAATGATCTACTGAGGATGAGAGAGAGAGAGCGAGTGGTTCAACAGCCTGGTCTTTTATATCCTGGGAGACTGTCCAGGAACTCCCAGGTGTAGCTGGTGAATATCCTCACCAGCTTCCGCCTCAATTTGTGACTTCTGCTTTTTTGCAAAAAAAATTGCAGAAAATTAAACCTTTTGACTGTGGGGACTCTGTCTATACATAGTATCATTAAGCTTATGCACCAATATTGTATCCCCATCATCTTCTCCTGAATTAATTTAACATACAAGCCTAAAGCTGAGAATGCTGTCCTCTACAAAATAGACCAAGAGAAGTTTGGAAAACTTTACATGTTCAAGAACACTTACCACTTTTCTGAGTGTTTTTCCTCTCACTGTATAGAGTCTGTGGGCATAGAAATACAGTCTGCAGCAAAACAACAAAATTTCGAACAACTTCTGAAACTGGGACTAGAGTTCTGACTCAAATAGCTATGGGGTACCATCTTTGTTAGGGTGAAGATTGTAAGGATAAAAGTTTTTCTTTTCTTATTATTTATTCATCCAAGTGGTAAGTCTCTGATGGTTCTAGAAATACATCCAGAACAGAAATGAGTTTGTTAAATGACCTTTTAAGTTTCTTAAGCATCTCTTGGACTGTTGTCTTTCAGCGGGATGGAGGCTCTCAGACTCAAATTGCATTTCTAAAACATGAGAAGCAGAAACTGGGTCCTCACAGAGCTGCTACGGCTGCAGACCCTTAGCATTATTTCACAGTGTGAAATGTCAATGTGCTACAGGCTAGAGGGCAAGGGATCATTAATGGATGAATCTAGCAGTGCTCTATGAAGGTGATGGCTGCCATCATTTTCTCTTCTCTTCCATCGACTGCAATCTATCATCTGCATCAGGTTTCAGTTAAAGAGGAAAATCAGGAACACTCAAAGTTTACTTGGCCCGGTGCCTCTGACATGCTGGCTTAATTTTACCTTCCATTTCAGCTCGGAGCATTTACATAAAACACAGCAAAAAGTAGTCCACATAATGGTGCCCTTTGGCCAAGCGCTTTAAGGTCCTGTCCACAGTCCCAGTGAGGGGCAGTCAAGCTGCCTCTGCTCTGCTCTGTTTGTTTTATGGAGCAGTAGTGAAACCACTTTGAGGTCAGCAAGCAGCAAAAACTGTGCTGGGTCTCCTATGGTCTGCTAAAAAAGGTTCCAAAACCAATCCAGGGAGCCATTTCTACTAGTCCAGCCAAGTTTCATTGACAAAAAGAGGTCATTACTCTGTGCACAGCTTTGGCAATAACAGGATCAAATGCTCTGATGGCTTGTAATGGAGACATTTTACTCCTGTTAGGGCTGCTGGCCCTGCTGATCAATTCCTCTTGCAAAGGTGGCTCTACAGGAAGAGTCAGATCATTAAAAAAGCCCAAAATGTCCCCGTTCACAACGTGCAGCAATAAAGGTACTCCATTTGCACACCCTGAATTAATTTGAGTGCTGTCATTATGCAAGTACAGCATAAATTGTCCAAGACCAAGTGAAGCTATTTATAGCTATCACAAGGCCTGTGAGCCAAGTGTGGCTAATGGTGTAATTTGTATTGTTAATGGTAATGCACTATTAGTTTGTTCCATTTGGCTTTGCACAGGTGCATTGATGGGGACTTGGTGAACCGTTTCAGTCAGTCCACGCTCCCATGCTGCTCCATGGAGGCTTTCAGAAGGACCACGGCTCTCTCTAGTGGCCAGGAGTGGAACAAAGGCAGAATTTGCTGCTGAAATTGAACACTTGAACAAACAGGCTTAGGTCGAGGTTGGGCAGAGAAGCAAGTCATTATGCTGAAACAAAAGATGAACATTTTGTTGAATAGAAAACAACATGATTGAGGACTTACCCTATCCTTTAAAAGCTGCACAAACAAACCAACAAACAGTTCCCACAGTAACAACAACAAAGCAGGATAGACTTTTAAAATATTGTGTTCCTAATTAACCTTCAAGCTCATCAGCCACAATCAATATAGAGTGCAGGCTTTTTTTTCTAATTGAGATGAAGTAATTATCAGACTGTATTCATCTCGTTAATGAAACAATGTTCCAATATGCCTGCAGCTAAACTGTTAATTGAGTTCTATTTTCTGAGATGAGTGGCCTCTCCTTGTGTCCATGGCCACAAAGCGTCAAATATGGGTTGGGGCCTTTGTGCTCGTCTCTGTGTAGACACAAGAACAGGCTGTGGACTGGTGGAGCGTGCGAGTGCTTCTCCCTGCAGACACTCTCCCTCCCGCCTGTCTATTCTCCCATCAGAGAGTCGAGGCAAGAGTCGGTAATAGCGCTGACTTCAGCAGATCATCCCATCCCAGTCTGTTATTTCACGGTTTCAGTGGTTAAGTACTCCCTGTTGAGTAAGATATAGCGTAGCAATTATTCTGTAATTATGGAGCCAAAAGACGAGAAATTGAGTCAAGAGTGGCTGGGCTCATGAAAATCACTGCAAGAGAGCCAAAAGGGGGTGCAAAAACAAGCCTAATTGTCCATATATGGGAGAAGTCATTTCCTCACATGTACTATATGAAATAAAATCTCTTATCCCGATACAATTAACATCCAAATATTTATTTAAAAAATTCCAATCAGGTGTCGCAAATGATGAGTATAGTCCTATACTGTTACATTTAAAGGGATACTTACTCATTATCACATCCATTGTTACAATGTTACAATGTCATTTGGCAGTAGGTGTGGGAGCAAAAATCGATACAACATGGTATCGTGATATTTTGTCTGGTGATGTATCGTATCGTCTCAAAAAGATAAGATGTGTTTCTATGGTAAATTCAGATTGGATGATATCAGTGACGTGCGGTCAAAAGGAGGCAGGAGAGGCCGTGCCTTACCTGTCATCATGGAAAGAAAAGAATGTCAAATGAAAAAAATACTTCAATGGCTACATGTATGTAGTGATTTGCATTAAAAGGTTATTTTTCATTTAACTTCATTGAACAGTCTGTACAGATAGAGAAATAAACATTTTGAATGGGTGTGTATGTGGCTTCTGGGGCCTTGGAAATGTCCCTCAAATGGCCACTTGAGGGACTGCAGTTTCAGCCCATGAACAGAGATCTCATTAAAATGGTTATTTGATGGTATATAAAATGGTATTTTGTTTTTATTTAAATAAAGAATGAAAACATTCTTTTGTAATAGCCTTAAATTTGTAATACGCTACCTTCAAATGGTGAAGTTAACTCCAATGTTCTGAACTTTCACATGCTTTCAACTGATGTTGTGAATATCAAAGATTGGGGTGTTTGGATAAACACTGCAAACATGACCTAATTTAAAGAGACCAAAAGACCTGGAGAATCGGGGGTGGGGGGGGTGTTGATCTCAGCTGTTTAAGAGTTTGACCCCAGTGAAATCGAAAAGGCAGAAGGGATGTAATTGCATGTCTCATGTTCAACAGACCATGTAATTGTCAAAATGACAGTTAAAGTCCCTGTGAGGAATTCTCCATTTGTGTCAATTTTGGCGCCCCCCTGTGGACAAAGTGATGTCTCATAACTTTACTAAAGTTGTCCTTTACATGTGTAAAAAGGAAACTATACCTGTTCGCATACAACAGTAAAATGTACTGTTTACTTTGTATATTTATTCAAAAACATTGTTTTGTCTGTTCAAAAGTAGTTAAAAACTTCTTGCCGGAGCTTAAAGTAAAAATAAAAATCAATCTAAAGTACCCAATTTGGGTTATACATGAGATGTTTCAATAATGGCTTCACAGATAACAGCTTTGACAAATCTTTATTCCTCGAGTCACCCTGTTATCACTGTTGTTTGGTTTTTGACCCAAAACAACAAGCAGCCACCAAACTAATCAATTATTGATAAAACAAGGTGTCTGGAGGCAGTGCTATAATGCAAATGAAAATTAAAATAGCGGCATCATTTGAAGGGTTTCTATCTTTGCAGAGCATTGACGGATACATTTTTAAACTGATCAATAAAATAAGAGTGAGAATGAGGTTTTATTTGAATACGAAGCTCTATTTAAGTGTAAATCACTGGTATTTGACATGATGCCATATCTGCATAAGGTTTGGAAATAGTAGTTGTTGTAATATTGACAAAGTTAAAGAAAGTCAACTCTCAGGCAGGTCAAAGGAAAAAAAGGAATCTACTTTGATTTTGTGACATCGTTTAGCAGGGGATTTTGGAGCTTGATCATTTTAACAAAGGATCAAAATGCCTGATCTTTATAGAGTTCTACAAAAGTCAAGAACAGTTTAGTCAGGTTTGTGTCTCAAAGAACAGGAAGGTCCTCTAACAGGTTGCCAAACTTTATCAAATTCCAAAAGAGTCACTGGACTTCCCCTTTTAATCAATCAATCAATCAAATTTTATTTATATAGCGCCAATTCACAACTTTGAGAACTTTAAGAAATCTCGACTGATTCAACATTAAAATGTAATTATTAAACTTGTATATAACCCAGTGAGGTTCCAAACTATGTCTTGTTCCTGAGTGTCTTTTAGGAGAAACATTAAAGCACAAAGCTTGTATCAAAAACTCTTTGCAGAAAAAAGGCGAAAACACAAACTGAGGCGAGAAGTTTCCGTTCATGTGTTAATGTGTGTTTTTATGTTAATGGGTAAAGAGTGAGACAGAAAAGAAACAGGAGCTGCAGTTCATTAAAATACAGACAAAAAAAAAAAAAAGGAAAACACAAATGTTGGATCACTTAAACTGACAGAAAGAAACTCCCTAACATTATCATAAAGGCACTATCAATTTGACCTCTGACCTCTGGCTGACTCCTTCTCTTAAAAAGGACCCTGTGGCCAAGTCAAAGCTCTGGTAAACCCTGTAAACCTAACATTTCCTTTATTTGGATTAGTACCCCCTCCTCTCTGGCTGTGGTCCTTTTACAGAGTTGGCTGTTAGTTGTATAAAAGATGGACTCTCTCTGTGATAAGATACTGATATGATACATTTTCCATGTCTGAAATCGAAAATATCTCAGTGGGGTAAAAAATTAAATCACGCACCAAAGGATGCAATGGTCCAATGTGTTATCTTCTGCTCCCGTTTGGTCCTTAAACGTGGTCACCGCATATTTTAACACTATGTACAAATGCAGTTTAGCTGTTTTAAAATCTGTAATATGTAAACAAGAAATTGTGCATTAAAAAAGGAAAATGTGCAGAACATAAAAAAGGTAACAGTTTTCTGTTTAGGACGAGGGAAAAAAAAAAACTCAATATGCTTTTTAAATTGATAAACTTGGATGAAGTTTGATACTTGTGTTTTGAAGGGTCCATCCAAAATCTAATGCAGGACATTATTACGTTTAAAGGCTGCTTCTGTTTGAGTTTTCAGACACGTTCAGAGACTGTTTCCCCCTCTGTTCTCTCAGCATTCAGATTGACAGTGAGATCTGCGTTTAGTCTTCTCAAAAGCTGCACCAGCATTACAAAAATTAGACACTCCTCATTAAAAAAAAGTACAGTCTGAAAGAGATCTTCTGTTGCCAGCATCACTTGATGAGCTTTTGTGTCTTTTTCACCCAGTGTATATGACTTTGACTACAGTCCTGACAAAGTCCCTCTGAAGTCATTTTCAGTCCTCGCTGCATGTTTAGCTCACTTTTGGGTAAATCTTTTCATAGAAGAAGCTCTGAGCCAGGACAAAAAGTTCTCCATCCTTTTCCCTGACAGCGTGGACTCGAACAAACTGAAACTGTTCGAGTGCAAACTCATAAAACTCGTTTTCGATTTTCCAGATGTCAGACTGCTGCAGCTTGGAGATGGTCTCTTTGGTTGGGGGCTTCTTTTCAGTGGTCTTTCGCAGATGGGACTTCTTTCCTGGAGGAACATCAGAGGGTTTAATGAGTCTGTCAGTCTAGACAACCTCAGACGCATAAATACTTCATATTATTTAACAGCCTACAGAGCTCATGAACCGACACCACTAGCAGAAAAATGGTTCCTTCAAAATGATGGAATATGAATGGTTGAATATGAGGGGGTGTTTTGTGTTCGAACCTGATCTGTAGAGCTCTGTGGCCCCCTTAAAGAAGCGTGGCAGCGCTGCCTCCAGGATCATAATAAAGTCTTCCAGCTCCTCAGTGACTCCCACCAGCAGGTACTCGTTCACTAGGTTGTACTTGGCCTGCTCCAGGGCCCATCGACTGCCTGCATTCCTGCACAAAACAGCACATGGAACCAATCAGATCAATCAGTTTGTGTTTATACTGTGACTGCTCTGATGTAGGCTTCAGGGATTTTCCTCTGCCTTTCCCTTTATGCACCAACATTATGAAACACTCTACCTTAAGGTATTAAAGGCATGATCAGTCTCTATCAGTATTCAAAGCAAAGCTAAAGACTCAAGTTTTACTGGTGTGTGTGTGTGTGTGTGGTGTGTGTGTGTGTGTGTGTGTGTGTGTGTGTGTGTGTGTGTGTGTGTGTGTGTGTGTGTGTGTGTGGGGTTGTTTGTACATGTCATGTCCTACAATGTGTTGTACAGGGATGGGCTTGGCATCAGACAAAAGGAAAAAAAAAAGAAAAAGGGGAAAAAGGAAAATAGATTTGACCCCAGAGGCACTGTATGTACGGACAACATGTGACTGTCTTTATATGAGTGCTACAATATTGCCATCATTAGCTGGAGGTTAATCGTGTACTGTACTTTAGAGTGAATGTACAGAACTGTAGCTAGTAAGTACAAACAACTAACATGGCTAACTGCCAGTATCTGAAAACAGGTCATCACAATCATTGGCACTTCTTTGAAATGAAAGTATGGAAAGTACCATAAGTCCTATAATTACGCTTGTTTTTACCGAGATCCTCCCTTTTCACTGAATAGCATATTACCCCTTTGTTAGATCTGTTTTTTGTAGACATCATGACCCTCGTTGGTGATCTAGATCAATCTAAAAGAATCTCATTCTCGGGAAATGGCCCTTTACAGAACTCGTAATTTCAGTCAATGATTTTTTCAACAACTTAACTATTTTGGCCCCTCATTTGGACTGCTCTTTGGTGTCTGACATTAGGGCTGGGCAATATGGCCTCAAATCAATATAACGATATATTAAGCAGTTCACCTCCATAACGATAAATGGACCATAACTACTCCACAAGCTGCTCATCCCCTCCCACATTAACTTCATCTACTTCAGCCGCTACAACTTTTGAACTGTCTTCCCTCTCCTCACCTGTCTTTCCCTCTTTGTTATGGACTGGATGGGGTGGAGTCACGTCTCTGACGTAGGAAAGCATCTTAAAGGGACATGAGACCATAGCCTACCTACACACATCCAAAACAAACTTTTTTTATTTTTTTGACACATAATATACAGATATCGGCAAAATGGCATCAGTTACTGTCGTAAATTTCGGTATCTGTAAATTTTCGGTTTATCCCCCAGCCCTATTTGACATACAGCTGTTTACAGTGAGATTTTAGGGCTGAATAGACTGATTGTAAATGTATACTGCAGGAAATCTTGAGGTAGATGCAGTTGAATAACAAAGTAGAGCATTTGGCTGCTAAAAAAGTAAGATATTTCCCTCAGTTGCTGGTTGAGACCAAAAGCAAAGGATGCTACAGTGAGACAGTATGATGTTCAGGATTTTTTTCCCTTACTGTAAAGGGAAAACAGGCTGATGATGCAATGGGGGGAAAACTACTCCATCTCACAGGTGAATTTCCTCACCTGAGGTTCATGTGTGACTGGAAACTTTTTAAGGTGTGTTTGTGTGAAAGATACCAAGTGATGCTTTCTATATGTGTTACTGGCTGCAGCTTGTTTAACAACGTTAGCTGTGTGATTGCAAATACTTCCCTGCAATTGCACAGATTCAGATTTGCTGCTTGGAATGAGGCCTGTGGGGAGACAAGCACAGCCCACTCACCAGCACTCCGAATGGTGCCCACAGAAAAAAGGGATCTGCAGCCAGAGTTTCTCCGGAGCACAGTCGGACCCTCCTGATGACACACACTCATCGAAGGTCTGAAAGAAAACACAGTAACTTGCTGCAATGTATCTGTGTGCAGACAAACAGCATCACCTTAGTAAGATTGCAGATACAGACCTTTTTGTCTCCTTGTTTTCTTCGCCGTAAACCAGGTCTGTAGTCATCGCCAAACCGCAGGAAGTAATAGTACGACACCAGACGCTCTATGGGGTCCCGCACCACGTTTATGTACATTGGCTTACGCTTTGCACTATATCTAAAAAGAAAGAAACCAGTTAATGTTTTTCTAATATTCTAACATTACTTGGACAGTAAATGAGCAGAAATCAAATCCTCAAGCTGTCACACTTAGAGTCTCATTTAAATATCTGCGGTACTAAGAAAACTTCCTTTTCCGTCAGTGAATGTGTGACAGCAGCAGAAAAACTGTGAGCTGACAGAGCCTGATGAACGCTTCCACCATGAAGCTCATTACCACTGAAATAACAGTTTTAGGTAAGATACAGACAACAAGGCATTAATCAACACTAAAGTGGACCTTCGAGATCCATCCATGGGCTCATTTTATCTGCTAACTTATTGTAACTTATCTGAAAATTAAAGGTATTAAAGATAAAGTAAGAGCCTTACTTTGAAAAGTCCAGATAAGCCACATGTCCATGGTAGAAGCCGGGCTTCATCTCCCTCCACGAGGTGACGTTCCTGACAAAACGTACCTGTAGGCAGAGATAATGAAGGCTAATGATAAAAAACGCCATCCGAAGTGGAAGACAATGAAAAAAACCCCAACTATTAGTACAATGATATACAGTGTAAATGTTGAGTGTAGGATGCAGCTGTCCCCACCAAAGCAAAAACATCAGAGATGGAATAAACAAATGTTTAAAAAAGGTGAAGAATAAGAAAACACATTTTAATGAGGCTAAATAAATAAATAAATAAAAAATCAATCAAGGTAAAAAGGGAAATCTATTCCAGTTTGATCATAAGTTGATTTTGATTTGTATTCTTGTCTAAGGAAAGTATAAGGAACAAACTACAAGTGCATGTTTATGCAGTGAAATCTGCATTTGTTTTTTTTTTCCTTGTTCATGTAACACCCAACATTAGTAAGCATACAGAATTAGCATTTGCTTTTATCAAGGTCTTGCATTGAAACAGTGAAATTTAATGCATTATTAAAAAAAAAAACTGTGAAAATGGATTTAAATCATGTTTCCATACATTCCTTCTTTCAGTTCTGACCATACACTGAAGATGGTGAACAAAATAAGCCCTCCCTTACAAAATATTTAGAGCTCCCCTTGTTGACTGCCTATATATATATATATATAAATGTTGAGTGTAAAATTCTCAAAGAAAATTCTGTCAGCTCAATGTTACCTCATCACGACAGACGATCAACAGGTAGACAAAGCTTGTTGATGTCACATTTCACAATGATCCTAAGATTAGATCATGAGGAATGACATCAGTATTAACCATAGACTGTATGTAGAATGGACAGAGTCTGCCTCCTCGCTGGGTGAAGCCAATCTGAGAACAGCACCCTCTGTTGATGGGCTGCAGTATAGGTCATAAATCCTGCCTACGCCAGCAAAGCTTATAGTGCTGTGGACAAACTTAAAAAATGTATTACACAGAACATAAATTCCCCCCGCCCCCTGCGATGTTGACATATAGTTATTGTAGGACTGGTTTGTGCTCAAGTCCTCTTTTTTCTGTGCAGCTCCAATTTTTGAAAGTTATTACAGGGTTCATGTTTCATGATACGCTGTTTGAGCCGAGCGTCATCACAGTGACTCTCTGCGACTCTCCCGCCGAATGTGCACAACACTATTGTGCAGCGCTGGTTTCAGGAAAATCCCGGGAATAGCTGTATACGGATTTGAAGCTTTTTGGCTTCAAATCCGTATACAGGTGGGAGGCGGAAGCAAGTTGTCCATAGTATATACAGTCTATGGTATTAACCAGCTGCATTTACATCAATATGAGAAGGGCAAATATTGAACATGAGACATCACACTTCATACAGCCAATTCTTTCTAATTACTTCTGTTACATTTCATAAAAGCAAAAGGACCCACTAGGTCCTTAGATCCTCAGGTTTGGGAAATAAATGAAGACTTTAGTATTGTTTTTTTTTGCAGCCAACAACAGAGCAAAAGGCATACTTTTCTTGTACCCTCAACATTGTTTGTTTTACCAGTCTTTGCAGGGAATAAACAACGATGGCTGCAACATGAACTAAGAAGATGGGAAATACTCCAGGCTTGAGGTGGGTTACTCCAGCCTGGAGGTGTTGCTGGTTCCCTAAATGTTGTTGAGGGTGGGGTCTACAACTAGCCTTTTGGGGGCAAGTTTCCTAAAAGGTGGAGCACACAAAACAGTGAGAAGATGGATCTGTCTTATGTTTTAGGTGGGGGGGGGGGGGGGGGTTGTGGATGGGCCAGGGGCAAATAGTTGGTGAAAACAATGAAAAGCTACTGTGTGCAATATGTGGCCTTTGAGCAGGAAATGCTACTTATTGCATCTGGTTTTAGACTGAAAGTACCCTCAAAGTGGAATGATGTGATATTTTCATTACTACTGATAGTAGTGTTGACTTTCTCTTCTTTATATCAAATTGTGGGTTTTTCACTTAACAAAGCTTCATAAAAATTTTACAACTGGTTTTTCCCCTGACAAAACCTCTTTTTCAGCTCTTTGTTACGTCTGCAGTCTTTCTTTCCATGACAAAGTTAGGGGAGACAGTTTGAAGCCTAAAGGCAAACTCTGTGGCCTGGAAACATTTGAAAGCAGCTCAAAGAATTCTTCATCCTGGTTAGAGTGACAGGAGAGATTTCAGAAAGGATATCTGAATGAAGTTGTGGAGGTACAATTATATTAACAGTGAGGGCGACTTGGCTCACTTTACTGCGGTGGAAATTTCATCTGCATTCCAAGGTATAAACACAAATCACACTGAAATCTCCAATTTATAAAATGTTTCAGCGCTGTAACTCTTCCATCAAACTAAGGTGGACATATTAATGAGTTAAGATTAACCAGATGAGTTTCCGCCTGTCGTCCTTTTTATTTCCTAATAAGAGCAGCACTAGGTCTCTTTTTATAACTGATATCTTTGACACAGTCTGCGGTTTGAGGGGGTAAAAATATGACAAACTCCATCGTGTTCACAAGTTTGGACCTAGCTAAATGCTATTACTGGATACAACTCTGAAGGCTCCTGGAGTGAAATGTGCCAGCGGACTGATCCTTTCGCCCTGTGCAGAGACTGTTTGCAGGATGGAGGGGGTGGCCTGTTGTGAGACGGCAGACAGGATATTACCTTGGCATCAACAGCCAGAAATAACACCAGTTTAGCTTAGAGGCATTCACACTATGTATCCTGAGCTGCACTGATAGAAATACAAAAGCAGCCAGTGGAGCAGGCTGTAATGTGTGCTGACGCCACCTATATTCTCTAGTTTTTCAAACGTGCACACACAGGTTCTATATGAGACACAGAGATTCAACTGACACAAGCTGAGAAAATCTTTGACTCTAATGGTTTCATCTAATGGGAAGTGTGTTTTATTTATGTAATAAAGCTACATAAGCTTTAAGTATTCAAGCAAGTTGGAAAATTCTTGTTTCGTTTTTCTTTTTCACTCCTGTCCTGCAGTACCGCAACACTACATGGTATAAGAGTCTGTCCAGCACTCATAAGTCGAAACTGCTCCACGATATAAAGCTGCTGTAGGTCAAACACTCTAGAAACTCCATGAATCAGCCAATAAGACACATGAAGACTGACCAATTACGCTGTCACTGTCAGCTGCCTGAACCCTAAGAGTTAATGTCATTTATTTTATGATCAAGCCTGACATGCAGGGTCCTGTGTTTTCAAAACATCAGAACAAAGCACTTGCTTGTACACCAGTAAATTAAAGTATTTAATGCTATTAAATGCTCAGGACATAAAACATACTAAGTTGTTGACTATGTTTTTTTTATATATTTGCTCATATGTAAAGTTCTTATCAGAGAGAACAAGTCAGGAAGAAATATGTTCTGCCACAGGAGTAATAAACAAGTGTCTCACACATGTCAGCAACTTAGTAACAATGCAGTGAGACTACTTCAATACAACAGAGCTATGTCAGGCATGTGAGCTCAACTCAACTGATCCTGTATTTCACCACAACAGACTAGATCCAAGGCAAAAATCAAAAACCCCAACCAGCCACATTTCTTTTTCACTTTTGTGTAAGTAGCTAGCCATCTTTAAAAAGGGTGTCCCAATACAACTTTTTTACTTCCAGTACCATACCAATATTGAAGCCAATAGTATTGGCTGATTCCAATACTGATCTGATAGTGGCACAAACTTGTGAATGACAAGTTTTGCACTCAACTCACCTGATCTTCCAGTCCTATGGTGCAGAATTTTCTCCTTTTTTGTCAGAGCATTTGATCTATTAATTGTTGCATGTTTTTTTTTTTTTGTTTTTTTTTTTAGAATTTTAACCAATTTAACTTGTTTTTATGCTCTTCTCAAGCTTGTATAACACAGATGCAACAATGCATTAACTGCAAACTCACTCTGCAGGATTAGATTTTTATGTTGCTCTCTTGTCTCCGGGAAGTGCTGGTGTAATTCACCACAATCTCATAACATAAGTGCAATTGATTGATGGGAGTTAATGGCATTTCTCTGCTTGAATCTGTTCTTTTTTGATTTACATCACAGCTGTATAATTCACCAGGCATTTGTTCCACAAACTGATAACATACAAACTCAGAGTGGGGCCAGACTTCACTGAGCTGACTTCTCACTAGAAGATAACTGCTGCCATTGCTCAGTCCACAGGTGCATTGACCTAGTCTTGATAAAGGGCTATGACACTTCTTTAGACTAAACATGTCATTTCCCTTCAATTTCAAAGCCAAGGGCGGCAGTAAATCACCATTTTCATCATTTAATATCAGATTGAAGGAGCTGGTGTCATTACTTTGTTCTTTTTCTGAGCAGGAGGGGAATCTGACCTCTAACTGCAAACTTCACTTCAGTTAATTATAGCTGCTGCTTCTTCTTCTTCTTCTTTTGGTTCTTCTTCCTCCTTCTTCTTTTTCCTTCTTTCTTCTTCCTTCTTCTTCTGTTTCCTTCTTTTTTTCTTCCACCTTCTTCTTTCTTTTTCCTTCTTCTTCTTCCTTCTTCTTTTTCTTCTTCATTTTTTCTTTTTCCTTCTTCATTTTTCTTCTTCCTTCTTCTACTTCATCAATACAAAACACTCAGTGCACTGGTTTGCATAGAGACCATGCAATTTCTAAGCTAAGTACTTTCTGTCCTTTTATTCTGCATATTCTTGGACATGAATCACTGACAGATTTGAACGATGTCAGATGCTGTTCAGGACATCAGAGAAACAGAGTTTATATCAGAGACTTTACCAACAAACACTGCTGCTGGAGTTCATCACAGTGCAGATGTGAGGCCTGTTACAAGAGCAGTGTTCAAAGTCCTTATTTATTTCATTCTTCAAAGTATTAAAGGCAGATTTGTGTGAAAACATTTCATGTTGCAGCAAGTATAACTGTGGCGGCACAACAATAGCCTATTTTTAATTCCTGGGCTTCAGTTTTGACTATCAAAGTGCCCACAAACCTGTCATAAGCTGAGCCTCTGTTAGGCCAACAAAGGACTCTTCTGCCTTTGTTTCTTTGTTGTATTGAGAACTGTTTTGCAAGTATGATGACAGAAATGAGCCTGTGGTGGAGGTAGAGTCATGTTTCACTCTAGCTGCCTTTATTGGCAGCAAATGTGTGAGGAGAGTTAAGCAGGAATGCTTTAATCAAATATTGACATCTTTATGATCATGTTGCAACACTGCATTAAAGTCCGGTCTTGGATGATGGTTTTACCTGGTCCTGTAGAGACATGACGGGGTTGTTTTTGGTGGTGTTGATGTGCAGGACGTGGAAGCGGTTCTTCCCACAGAGGTCATAGGCGATGTTGGTGAAGGAGGTACTGGCTGTCTTAGGTACTCGGTTGTAGATGATGACCATATCATCTTTTTCTGCCAGTGGGGACAGGTCCCGGCCAGAGTCCTCGCTGTGACGCTGCTCCACTTCAGTCACCTCGTGTCTGGCAATAGTCCGTTCTGTTAAAAATGTAAAAAAAAGTTTGATACTTTTAGGGCTCCTCTCACTCAGATTTGTGTCAGGCTCTTTAGATTTGGCTATTCAATGCGAATCTGAGACTACTGCCAATAAACAGAAACTTTGATCAGCACCGAGTCTCATTTTTGCTTTAAGAATAATCTCAAAGCTTTAAAAGTCACTGAATGCAAGTTGGAAACAAACTTTCAGCAAATAAATGTGCTTTGTTTAAAGGTATCTTTTTTAGATTTGATTGTAATATTAAGCTGAATTAAAAAAAAAAAAATGTTCATCAACTTTGAGACAAAGTTAGCGGATCATCGTTCACAGCCCCAGAAGACTGAGTCTTGGTGATACTGTTTTACTAACTGAGACTGCATTATTCAGAGTATTTTTTAGGAGTTTATCTACGGACTCTTCGGTTTGGAAGACAGGGATAACTTTGCAGACAAATCAGCTCATCGAATTATCATTTAAAATCCTCATATTATTGACACTAAATAAATACAAACCAAGCACCTACACTGAGCTAACAGCTGCTCAGCTTACAGTCTTCTTGTAGCGAGATTGAGGAAACATAAAACTCCCCAATTTCGTCATGTGTCCGTTTTTAATCACCTGGCCAAGTTTGGTTTGGGAATGAATGAGAATAAATTGGCCCCTGATAAAAACTTCTGAAAACCAACATTTAAGTTAGTTGGTAGCTCACTGAAAGGTTCACAAAATTAAAGATCAAAAGAGAGACACTTGTGAGGACAAGGAAAGGCTAAACTTCCTTCTTGTACAAACAAACAGAACAGAGATGTAGAAGTGACGGTGTTTAGATCGTTGATCGTACATCCCATGTGCCTCTTGCTAACTTGTTTTGATACACAGTAGTTTAATCTCGAGATGACCCAATAGTAACAAGCTAAAAGGGGGAATTTCACGATCTTCTGTAGGGGAGGCAGACATGCTTCTGCTTTTATCAAGATTCTTCCCTGGTTCTTGTAAACAGGATTGTTGTTGACTTGACCCCAGAGTAAAGATGGGATGAGAGTACCTGGCAGCGGTCATTACGTTTACATACGTAGTTAAGCTTTTTAACAAGACCACTGCTCATGTCCCTGAGTGTTGCTTCATGACAAGGATGCAGCTCAAAAAAGTGCAGAGACCCGATTGACAAAATCCAAGTGGACTTGAGGTCTTGACTGGTGATTAAATCGACAGCTTTATGGGGCCACAGTTTTAAAATTTGGAATGACAAAACAGACACATTTACCTACATGAATACCATCAATGCTACTAGTTTTGATAGTGAAGTCATGTGTTAGTGAGCAGCTCTAAAGAGGATTTATATAATCTTCAACCTGGTTGTGCACTATCTTGCATTGTCTGCTGCCTGGATTCCATTGAGCTCAAAGTTAGTTCACGCTTGTTGTTTTTTCTCATCTTGCTGCAAACACAGCAGGTGTGTGAGGCCACTAACACAATAATGAACACAAAGACAAAGGTACATCTGTTGTATAAATTAACCAGTAGTTTGAAAATTAAGGCCAGTCAAGCTTGTTAGCTTGCTTTAATTAAGAAATACAACAAAACACAATAACTGCGAAACTAGTAATTAAGCCTTTGATGATAACATTGACAGGAGGCATAATTAAAAGTGTTTCTCCCACTCCTTTTCTCTGCTGCAATGTTAATTAAAGCCAATTACAGGAATGGCCTTGTGAGTGTCTCTATGAACAGCTGTGTGTCACTCAGTATAATGCAGACTCCCTGCAGCAGCGCTTCAGTGTCTGACATCATGAGAGAGGCCATGTGTCTGCAGGATGTTTGTCACACTGTCACTGCATGTGAAGGCAGATGGATGGTGTTCTGACCCTTCGTAATTAATTTCTCTTTTCTTGTAGGCATCACAGACTATATTGCACTTGGTTACTGTTTACTCTCTGTTGTTCGTGGATGCATTCTCCAAAGGTACGATGCAGAACTCTTCATATAAAGTCTCCTGTTTGCCATGAGCTAATGTTGAATCTTTTGTTTACTAATGTGCTGTACGCCAAGTCGCCAACATTAGCTTTTTATTCCTTAAAGATTAACAAGCTCAGACACTGGTCCTGATAGTGGCTCAATGTCAATCATTTAAATGTCGGTCAGCGGTTTTGGTTCATTGCTCTAATTTGTAGACCTGCCCTAATTTTTACAATAATCCGCCTCAGTCTGTTAAACCTGATTATATCCCCGATGTGGAGGGAAATGTATGATGCCCCGCAGTTAAACCACAAGACTGATTCAATAAAAGATGCAAAATGCTAAAAATGAGAATCTGGTCAAATGAAAAAGAAAACGTTTTTTCCTAGTCCACTGTGGGTGATATTTGATAATATAAATAAAGCATTTCCTTATTGCTAAAGGTCCATTTAATAGGGGGTCTGCCTTCATGATTCTAAATGAATAACAAAGCTTACTTTGGGAATCGTGTTTGTTAAAAGCTCGACCAGACTCCTAGCAGTTAGCTTATTAAACAAATCAAAGCCCAGTGTGGGATTTCCAAATCATTCTTTTGAACTGCATGTAAACATACTGACTGTGAGTGTGTCTGCTTCTGGGTATCTTTTCTTACACCACTCCATCTCACATGTAATGTTCTGCTTACAACACGTTCTGATAGGCTAGGCTAGATGGCACCCAGTGGTGTACTGTACTGGTTCAGTGTTAAAATCTGTTTGACTACAGTTTTTGATCAAACATTTGCTGAGGCATTGAAGCAAAGCGTAGTGTCAGAGTTAGTACTATTTTCAATTTTATATTTTGCCAAAGTTTTTCATTTTCACTGTCAATGCACATTGGTTACAAACATTGGTTATCGCTCCACAAACTACTAGGAGCATTATCTGTATTTTTTTTTTTTTTTTTTTGGCCCTAAAAACAATGTTGGCCAACTTCTACCCTGGCCTCCATCCAATTGATAAAATGCAGGCACAGTTTTTTTGGGGGAAAGCACGCTCATTTACACAAAATACTTTCTGACATTTATTGCAATACATTTGATTGTAACATTATGTTTATTGCAATGCTCCAATAGAAACACATATGTTATTTTGCAGTTCTCTGTGACAACGTCAAAGTAAGGTATATTATCCTCAACACAGTATTGATATCAGCTGATAAAAGCACAAAGAGTCTGTATTGACAGACATAAACTATTCTGCTGTGTTTGACTGGTTATGTGCCAACAACAAACGTCAACATGTTGGCTGTAAGAAAGTGTTTCTCAGTGTCAGAAATAGAAAACAAAATAGCTATTTGTAATGCTTTACTTTTAAGGCACATGTGATGTGACAAGGAGCAAAACAATCCTCCACTAACACTGACTTTAATTGTTAGTTTGATCTAAGCCTGATCTACTTATCTTTGCTCTGATGTTTTAACAGCTCGTTAGAGAGAGAGAGAGAGAGAGAGAGAGAGAGAGAGAGAGAGAGAGAGAGAGACAGACAGAGAGAGAGAGAGAGAGAGAGAGAGAATGGTCCTCTTTAAATGAGCCCTCCTGCTCCTGGCTTTACATAAGAACATTCAGATTATGTGACATTGCTTGTAAAGTTCAACTTTATTTCTTCTTACCGAGTCTGGCTCTGGACTCCTCCAGTTTCTGGATCTGGTTCTCAATAAGGAGCATCGCCACTCCAAACGCCAAAACAGCCAAAAGCTGGATCTTAGGCGGCATCATGGTCCGTAAAAGCCCCATCAAACAAGAAGATAAACCATACCGCTAATACTACCAAACAGATCAACTGCTGAGTGCTAATCCGACAAAGGAGCTTACAGGATGTGGTAAATTAACTCTGAACTGCTGTCCGAAAAATCCAAGTAGACTCATCTCAAGCAGGTAGAAATCAAAGACGCTTTAGCCGATAATTCAGGATCTCAGCAGCCACCGTACCCAGTCCGTTAGCCAAACACACACCAGCTAGCCTCTGAGCTAACCAGCTAAATACCAACTGAGAGCCACGTAAAGATCATGCTAGCGTCCTTTCTAAAACCTCAGGCGGTGGACCCTCCGCATTTTAATTTCAGACCTGTGTCCATTTTACCCCGCAGCAAGCGAGGTCCCAGAGGTTCTACTGATATTAATTGAAGACGAGTGAATGGAATTAAGTCCTCAAAAAGGGACTCAAAACTACAGAGAAATGTGTGGCACAGCGGCAGCTTGTGGAGGCTTGTTGCTGAGGCACATCTCCTTCGTTGGATTCACGAGGTTGACAAATAAATGTGAGATAGTCACATCGCCACCTACTGGACGAAAGTCTACACAAATAAAGAATAAAATCTAGAACATTATTGGTTAAGTGATCTTAACCAGACGGCCTAAGCACATTTAAAACTGTTATTTTTTATTTTCTTAATTAAACATGACCTCCACTCTAACTCCTACCTATAAATCACAAATAGGTTAAAAAGGAACATTTGAAAGTTTCTTGTGCAAGGTAAAAATAAAATAAGATGTCTGGGTCTCAGCACATCAAATAACAGCTAAAGCTTGTCTCTTAAGATCACTCTTTACTGTTTTGGAAATATATTAAAGGAAAACACAGCTTGAGCATACAGACCTGGCTTAACCAGGTACTATGTGACCTTATTAGTTACTGAGACTATAGTTGAGAAATAAATCAGGTATATATTTGCTGAAGGAAAAATACAATTTTGACACAATCATTTGAGATTAGTGACTGCAGATGTTTAGAGTAGTTGTAAAGATAATAATTTTAGAGGTATTTTGACCTGCAGTACAGCAGCTGATATCCCTGATCTGAAGCCAGTTATGGGAAGGAGAGAATCCTGAACCGTCACTATTATGTTCTACTAATACAGTAGAAAGTTGACTGTAAAGCATAGACTCCTTTCTGTACCTTTCAGTGTTGCCATAAGTTCAGTAAACTCTAAAGATCAATTCAAGGAAGTGAGGGGAACACTTCCTGCCATATCACCAATCACTTCCACCATCAAGTAATTCTTAAAAAAAAAGCAAAGTAATATACACCGAAAGCAAAACAATGAAGCAGTTATGTGATATGTTTAAAATTGTACCCATAATTCCAGTTTCATAATAGTTACCAGTTAAGAATATTTTCAGGCAAAACAAATGACTGACAGGCTCTGTTCAATTGCATTGGTCATTTTGGGTACTCCTTCCATCAGGAGAATTATAGAAGGAAAGCTATGAGGAGAGCACTCATTAATGTTCTTTTTTTGTTGCTCTTTATATCTGCATCTATGAAAAGCTGGAACAAATGACTTCAAAATGTTCTTTTTATTTGTGACTTTTATGATATTTGCCTGTGTTTACCTGCGATGAACTGGCGACTTGTCCAGGGTGTCCCCTGCCTTCGCCCGAAGATGCTGGGATAGGCTCCAGCCCCCCTCCGCGACCCCGGGAATGGGAAATAGGGGTAGAAAGTGGATGGATGGGCCTATATTTACTTACCTTTACGATTGCAATGAAGTTAATGAAGTTAAATGAAGTTCCTTTAACACCACGATCTTTATGTGAGATTCATACCCCTTCTAATTTTTGCTGATGTGTTAGGTGGTTGAGGTATTTTTCTTGTTCCAAAGTTCATAAGCATCCCAACATTGGACGTTACACTCGCCATTGTACAAACTGAGTAGTGATGTATTTTTAAGCCAGTAGATGGCGCCAGAGTTCCAGGAATGACGGTCTCATATTTGTATCAAACAAGCCCAACTTAACCAAAAACATTGTGCAGAAAAGTAATTATCTTTTCAGCAAAGTAAAATACTGATCACATGTCTGCAGCAAACTAAAATTTTAAGAGTAGGGTTTGGTTAATATCAGTCAAATATTGTGTTTTTAAACGCTCCATTTAATGTACTGAATTGAATTGATTTCAAACTCTTACCAACAAACAGACCAAATAATACCTACCAACAACCTGAAAAAAAACTAATTTTTTCTTACTCTTCTTACTGTGTAGTTATGCAGAATGTAGGTGAATGTATTATCTATCAGTGAAGCACTATGAGAGGTTATCCTGCTTGGTTAGGTAACAAACTCACTCTTAACATTCACTCTATAGTCATTTAGTGACTTTTAGCACTCAGAAGGTCTATATTATAATCCCCACATATAAATAGGTCCTTATGATAGTTTATAGAAAACAAGTTCTCCATCCACTCCTCAAATAAATCCTTGTTTGATCTGTGTGCCCTATAAAGACAACTTAAAATGATATTTTTTCCTTTTTTTCATGGAGATTTCGACTGTTACCCGATAGGTTACACTGCAATATGATAAGGTTGTGTTACAGTACAATATACAACAACAGGAAACTCTAAGTTAGAAAATGATGCGATTTAATACTATGTGATATTAAACTATCTGATACATACATATAGATGAATATGTTATAAGACAATAGATTAAGATAGGTTACAAGAGTATAAGATCGGTTACGATATGATATGTGAAGGTATAGCAGGATGGGAGACAATAGGATGAGATACAATTTGATATGATGGGGTATGGTACAATATATGATGGTAAGATTAGAAATTATATGATAAATTATGATTTGACTGATACGATACAAGGAGGTAATAATTTGCAATTAAACAATACAATGACATGATATGATAAACTATTTTATGTAACTTCACATCTAGTAGCCTCCTCATTTGTCAAAAGTGATCTACGATCAACAGGGAAACACAACAATGAAAACTACAAACAATGCATTGCACATGTTGAACACATAACACAATATAAGATGGTGACAAAGACGAGAATACCATTAAGACATTCTACAACCTTTAAAAAAAAAATACTCTGATCAGCCTCTTAGTCCCATTGAAACCCCTTGAACAGGAAAAATTTGATTTAAGATCAAAGACAATATTTCTCATGGTTTTATGCAGCTGCAATTAATATTTGTATAAATATGTCCACATGCTGCATTTTTCTGTCAATTGTTCAATCAGGGTATGTGATTGAATGCAAAGTTTCTCAATACTTTGTTGGATTTTCCCTGAGAATAAAACAAATTCGATCCAAAAGATGTAACAAAAGACTGTTCTGCTTTGAGATCAGGACACAAGGAGCAGATCAGCTGACCAACGAACAGGGCTCAGTGTATGTTAAAGACTCAGGCTATATCTTTGGGGGACTGTTACTTTGTTCAATTACTCAGAAACAATGTGACGATTATTCCCTTTATCATGAGGTGCTGCAGGGCTGCAGATAACAGGTAACTACCATGGTTACACTGATGACCACGGCTTTTTCTGTTGATAACACTAATGGGATAAACAACAAAACAACAATCAGTATGCTTATTTGTTTCAGATGTTTTGATCCTCTCTTTTTCAACAGGACTGGATTTTTGTTGTGGGGTGGATGAGATTTTGTTTTCTCCATGTATGAAATGTGTAAGAGAATTTCTCAATCATTGTTCAAAGTGTGTGCATATCTTTATAGAATCATTTAAAGACACACTCTGATGAAAATTGTGTTTTTCTAGTTGTCTACGTGTTGATAGGACATATCAAGAGAAAACTATTAAGTGCAAAATTACATTTCTGAGTAAGTTCTTCATTCACTCACACTTTCCTTATTATTGAGACAAAATGAATAATGAACCACATAAAAATTATTTAATAATCACAATATTAAAAAAAAAATATTTAAACTGCTTTATAAAGAGGAAACAAAATAGGATTCAATTTACCAATAAAGGAAGGAAAAAAAAAAGGAGTAAAAAACATTCACGAGTTACAAGAGATTTTGAATAAAGTGGGTTCATGTACTCTATGTAGTCAAACCTCTGGTGTGACTGTTCTCCATTCACCTCTGGTTTGTAGGATTTGTAGACTAGGCCTGGTGCTGGACTAGTTGATGGCGTTTTTAGAGGAGGTTTTGTTGGCCACCATGTTGTCTTTGAAATCAGCTGCTTTCAATTAAAAACAACAAAGCATGAGAGTCTGACAACTGTGACACAAACCCTAACCCTAACTCATTAGCTTTACTGCCAGACATCCATACTCAAAAACATTTTTAAATGAATGTAACAAGAAATCTGGAGAGCACAGGAAGAATATAAAAATCTCAGTGAACTCGTCTGATGGCAGACTGCAACTGTTTATTAAATACAAAGGTTAAAAAAAAAAAAAAACATCTCATGAAGACTCTTATTTACATTTTGCTGAGTATGTCTCTTAAATTTGTGAAGGACCATCTTTTTCCTCCTTGCAGCATTACAATCATACCCAAGCATGCTTTATGTTGTTGTTCAGTTTTGTCAGAAGGCAACATTTCTGTCTTTGAGCGCATACTCTTTAACAGCAGTGAAAATACAACCCGCACTATTAGATTGCATGTACTGCTTGCTTACAAAGCAGTTCTGTTTGATCCTCACTCCATTTAGAAGTCTGCTCATCTCTGTTAATTTACTGTTCAGGAATAGTGCTGTAAAAAGTTGCTGCCACAACAATGGGTCCTCTCAAAGGTCAGAAAAGGCTTTGGAAGAGTCTTTCCTGCCTTCATGACAGAAGCTTACTGTTCCTATCTTCTTGAAGTTGCTCCCATGCAGGTTGGACACATCAAGATGCCTTCTGATACAGCCTGTAAAAAGTGCAAGGGCTAAGGATGTAAAGGAGACAGTGAAAACAGTAAAGTAAACCAAAAAGCTGTGGAAAGTTAAAAAAATATGACTTTGAATTTACTTGGAGTCAGGTACCATTTGAGTCCACCAAAACCCCCTTCAACAGCCCTCAAGCCCCCATCTGCATGAGAAGTAAACACCGAACTCTGCACAAGGGCGCATTGGCCAGTATACTTCCACGCTTTGCTCGGATATGTTGAGCTACGGCTACAGCGGATTTAAGTGGACTACTGTCCTTGGACGAGTCTACAGACACCAGGTGAGAATGGAGCTATGACAGATGTAAGTCCACCTCCACTTTGATAAGTGACAGCTTGCTCCTTACAGTTTGTTACTGTTTAGTCTGCCAAAATAAATGGCAGACTAAATGCCAACATCTATGAAAGAAAGAGCCAGGCCACGGAGCGCGATGCGTCATTGACGCACAGATGGTTCCAATTTTAATGCCATTTTTGGAGTTGTGATCTGTGCGCTCAACCCACCTTTTGAATATATGCAACTTTATGTGAGTGTCTTTATTTGTGGAAAATGGTGTTTGTCTTACCAGTGGGTCCAACATTACACACACCAAATCCATCTGTGCTTATATGAGAGTGTGGAGGACGCCCAATGCAGCG